AGCCACCGAAATGCATGACAAACCACCCTAAAAGCACATTTCAAAAACCGTCTATGGTCATTTCAACCATAACGCTAAATAATATAACATTTAAACCAACATGACATCAGTGATCAACTTCTAGGCACCACTGACTTTGATAAAGGGGAAAAATTAGTTTGTGTGCCACTAGATGGTCTTTTAAAAGAACGTGATTATTTTATCCCTGTTATGAAAGACCAAATGTATAATTTTAGGCTGAACTGGCACAAATTCATATTTTATTTTCATTGTTTTTAATTAAATAACTTAAATTTACTTAAATAAATTACTTGTTTATTTCTTATTTAACAGCATTGTATATGATCCATGATCCCATGCAGTCAGAAAGTGAAATAGCAATAATATTGCAAGCAACAAAAGAAGCATAACTATTCTCATACATATTATTAAAACTTGCTTACTTTTAGGCTGTGATAAACAAATCACAGGCCATTCCAGTTTCCAACTATTGCAGAACTATGTGCAGTCAGTAGTGCCAAGTGAACTCGACCATCTATGCTGTGTTAGGCCCGTATGCACATCCACTGCTTCAGTATTAAACTGCTGGGTATGTTAACTGCTGCCGATTTTGAACGATGCTAATGAGCATAGTGACGGCCTCCCCTCAGCAGTGAATACACAGTTGGATGCAAAAGTTTAAAAAATCTTTTGTCAACTTACATATTTTGTAGATTTTCCACTACAGGGAATAAACTTAAATACAACATTTTTGTGTTAATTTTATGTGTATTTATGTGTGTTTATGTGTGTTCTATGTGTACATTTTATATATATTTCATATATATATGTGTGTGTGTATTTGTGTGTGTAGTTTAACATACTGGAAAACAATAAAACATACAAAATACCATGTGCCATAACTTTTGCACAGGCTACATTTATATTTTATGATCCAAAGAATTAGTAATTATGTATTAAAATGTGCAGACGTGTGTTCCCTGTAGAGGAGGTGTTGACTTATTATCACTTATAAAATCAAGAACAATATGTAATTTGACCAGGGGTGCCCAAACATTTGCTTGCCACTGTAATGTCAAGATTTGATAACTGGATGTGATGACTGGGTTGGTTCTATTTAAATTCTAGTTTCATGCAGTTTATACTATTTTAAAAACTATTTCATGGCCAACCAGCCCAAATTTTGTTCACCCGCCAAAGAAATTTTCATGTCAATTCCAGCCAAAATCCCCCAAGTATGTCAGGAAACTGCCCAATCTGGCAACACTGTTGTTATGTGTCGTTAAATGTGTTTCTGTGTTGCTCTTGGATGTCTACTTACACACTAACCGTTACACTTCCTTACCCTGAAATGCAGGAAATGAAATCATTTCTGATAATAATAATAATAGCACTGGGTGTTAATATCATGCTAACTGGGGACCAGATAACTGTTAGCATGATCTTATTTGGGCATGCTGAGAGGTCCTCACTTATGCTAACAGCTAGGATTAGCGGGAAATGACAACCACTTTTTTTTACCTTTGAATGATTCTTTAATCTTCAAGCAGGTGTTCAACAACTGTATCTGCAAAATCAGCCTCATTTAGCAGCTTCAGTTTGTGCTAAATGTTCTTATAGGGCTTGGGAATGTATGTCATGTTGTGCTGCGTTATGGGATCGTTCCGCCATATTGACAGGGTTTGTTCTTTGTTTACATGCTGTAAATACTCACATACACTACAAGAGCTTAACAATATTACTCTTTATAGCGTTTCTTTCAGTCTTATCATACTTCATATTGAATCAAGTGAAAAGGGAGTGTATCTGAACTGACTACAGTGGAATGCTAAACCACTATACAATGATAAAATTAGCCTTATTGATGGACTGGATCCACACAAACTCCCAACAGCGAGTCGAGCAATGATCTTGTTACCTCCGCTTTTATTCATAGACTTTTTCCCAGCTGGTGTGAGGCTTGAGTGCTGTTCCTTTAAGTACTTAAGTAAGTTTTAAGTCACTCAAAGTCCATATACAGTTTACAAATGGTTATTCCCCTCAGCCAAATACACATTTACCTCAGTTACTGCCTTTATTCCCCTCAGCCACCAGCAGATTTACCTCAGTTACTGCCTTTATTCCCCTCAGCCACCAGCAGATTTACCTCAGTTACTACCATATTTCCCTCAGCCACTGCAGATTTACCTCAGTTACTGCCATACTTCCCCTCAGCCACTGCAGATTTACCTCAGTTACTGCCATAATTCCCCTCAGCCAGAGGCAGATTTACCTCAGTTACTGCCATATTTCCTTCAGCCACTGCAGATTTACCTCAGTTACTGCCATAATTCCCCTCAGCCAGAGGCAGATTTACCTCAGTTACTGCCATATTTCCCTCAGCCACCGCAGATTTACCTCAGTTACTGCCATATTTCCCTCAGCCACTGCAGATTTACCTCAGTTACTGCCATATTTCCCTCAGCCACCAGCAGATTTACCTCAGTTACTGCCATAATTCCCCTCAGCCAAATACACATTTACCTCAGTTACTGCCATAATTCCCTCAGCCACTGCAGATTTACCTCAGTTACTGCCATAATTCCCCTCAGTCAAATACACATTTACCTCAGTTACTGCCATAATTCCCTCAGCCACTGCAGATTTACCTCAGTTACTGCCATATTTCCCTCAGCCACCAGCAGATTTACCTCAGTTACTGCCATAATTCCCCTCAGCCAAATACACATTTACCTCAGTTACTGCCATAATTCCCTCAGCCACTGCAGATTTACCTCAGTTACTGCCTTTATTCCCCTCAGCCACTGCAGATTTACCTCAGTTACTGCCATAATTCCCTCAGCCACCAGCAGATTTACCTCAGTTACTGCCATATTTCCCTCAGCCACTGCAGATTTACCTCAGTTACTGCCATAATTCCCTCAGCCACCAGCAGATTTACCTCAGTTACTGCCATATTTCCCTCAGCCACCAGCAGATTTACCTCAGTTACTGCCATACTTCCCCTCAGCCAGAGGCAGATTTACCTCAGTTACTGCCATACTTCCCCTCAGCCAGAGGCAGATTTACCTCAGTTACTACCATATTTCCCTCAGCCACCAGCAGATTTACCTCAGTTACTGCCATACTTCCCCTCAGCCAGAGGCAGATTTACCTCAGTTACTACCATATTTCCCTCAGCCACTGCAGATTTACCTCAGTTACTGCCATAATTCCCTCAGCCACCGCAGATTTACCTCAGTTACTGCCATAATTCCCTTAGCCACTGCAGATTTACCTCAGTTACTGCCATAATTCCCTCAGCCACCAGCAGATTTACCTCAGTTACTGCCATATTTCCCTCAGCCACCAGCAGATTTACCTCAGTTACTGCCATAATTCCCTTAACCACTGCAGATTTACCTCAGTTACTGCCATAATTCCCTCAGCCACCAGCAGATTTACCTCAGTTACTGCCATAATTCCCTTAGCCACTGCAGATTTACCTCAGTTACTGCCATAATTCCCTCAGCCACCAGCAGATTTACCTCAGTTACTGCCATATTTCCCTCAGCCACCAGCAGATTTACCTCAGTTACTGCCATAATTCCCTCAGCCACTGCAGATTTACCTGTTACTGCCATAATTCCCTCAGCCACCAGCAGATTTACCTCAGTTACTGCCATAATTCCCTCAGCCAAAGGCAGATTTACCTCAGTTACTGCCATAATTCCCTCAGCCACCAGCAGATTTACCTCAGTTACTGCCATATTTCCCTTAGCCACTGAAGATTTGCCTCAGTTACTGCCATATTTCCCTCAGCCACCAGCAGATTTACCTCAGTTACTGCCATAATTCCCCTCAGCCAGAGGCAATTTTACCTCAGTTACTGCAATATTTCCCTCAGCCACTGCAGATTTACCTCAGTTACTGCCTTTATTCCCCTCAGCCACCAGCAGATTTACCTCAGTTACTGCCATATTTCCCTCAGCCACTGCAGATTTACCTCAGTTACTGCCATAATTCCCTTAGCCCCTGCAGATTTGCCTCAGTTACTGCCATAATTCCCTCAGCCACCAGCAGATTTACCTCAGTTACTGCCATAATTCCCTCAGCCAAAGGCAGATTTAATTCAGTTACTGCCGTTTATCACGCATCCACTGGCAAATTTCACTCAGTTATCTTTCACTCCCTTTTACTCAGCCAGTGGAGAATTCAACCAGAGAGGATTCATACAGTCTTTGATTTAACTTGGTATATTTCTCTCAGTCTTGGCATATTCCACTGTAGCTTGTTAGCAAACGCTAAGTAGTGCTCTAATGACACTATTACTGTACGGTACAATATTAAGAACCACAAAAACCCATATTAGAACTTATAAATCTTAAATTTACCCTGAAGAGGCAGTCAATCTAAAGTCTTTAAGAGAAACCAACAAGTAAACGCTAATTGTCTGGCAGTTCAGCTAACATTACTAGCTCTGTCACTGCTTACTTCACCTCAGACCTCGTAGCAACATTGTAGCTGGATAACAACCTTTTGACAGTTGTACCGTCAGTGGTAGTAACACACACCTTACCACAATGTTGAGATTTGCTTCTTCTTTGTTCATTAAATGTATAAGATTAGATCAGTAAAATGAGCTGGAGCTTATCTGCACTCTCACTGCAGTGCTTCCTATGTGCCGTTTGACCAGAGCTGTGTCTGAATAGCTGAATAAACCTTCTTCTCTGATCTGTGTTTGATTATGATCTGATCTGTTATCTGTTAGGCATGTAGGTCCACATGTTAGCCATTTCTGCAAACGTATTTAGTGAAGCCATAAGGTCCGCAGGTAAACAGGTAAAATCAAAGAAATCAGGTAGAAAAGTAGGTGTTTTTCAACTATTGTAAACCAGCCTAGACTGATATACCTGCCACAATGGTGGATTGCCCATAAAACACTGCGTTATGACATCACATTGCCAAGCCCTGTAGTTGGCGCCAGACAGTTCTTGACTATTTTTATCTGTCTGTTGCAGGAGAACTGCGAGACCTTCGTACCTGTAGGAGACTGGAAGGTACTGAACACTTTTGGTTCTAATTGCTGTTAGCCTTCAGCCAACTTCAGCCAAGCTGCTACACTGGCCATAAAGCACGTCAGGCCTGCAGCGTTAAGCCAACATGAGAAAGCGATGTTATCACTAAATGTCCCAAGCTCAATTGCAAAATCAATTACTGCTTATTTTCTTGAACAAAATGTTGTGGTGGTCAGAATGTAGGATATGAAGCTAATTTATTGCTGCTTGGCTGATTTATAGTCCCTTTATCTGTATGTGCCACAGAGAAAAATGGAAACTTGAAGAAACAGTTTGACCAAACATGCTAATGTCGCTGACAGTGAATGGAAGCTATTACTTTGAAGGGAAATTCCACTGATTTTCTAAAATTTCTGCAAACTTACCGACTCAGAATTGATTGTGGTAGTGATTACATGACGTTATTACATGAAGTGGTTATGATGTCTGAGACATTTACAATAGTTTTGCAATAAGATTAAGGCCTAAAATGTACATTTTAAAACATATTTATGCCTGATAGGTACTACAGGGTGTTGTAAGGCATAATTTTCCCCAAAGAAAGCTTCATCAGATTTACCATTATTTTACTATCATCAACATTACATATAAAAACTCAGAAGACAGTAATTAAAATACAGCTAGTTTTGGTTGTGGTCTGGTCTATAATTGCGTTGTTGACATTGTTCCTATCTAGACCACTATAAAGAAATCAGTGGTCAGGAGTGGACTATTGATCCAGAGATACAAGCTAAAAAATTCAGATATATCCATTATTATCTTTCCATTATTATTTTCTGTTAAATTATTGGAAAGCCTTGTTGAATATAAGAGACAATGAGTAAAAAGAGAAGCTCAGACTCAAACTAAACACATATATAGATGAACATGAGTGCATGTTTGATAAGCATGTGGTAAGTGTGGCTAGAGTGCCCTCAAGTGGTTAAAGTAAGTAACTGTGACAAGTTTTAATGCCATTATGAAGCTACATTATGAAGTTTTATTCTCATTATACATAAATATATCTGCAAGTTCAGTTATCTAGAGTTGACCATAGATTTTAAGCTGCATGTGTTAAGTTTTGCATCAGTCTTTCATTTGTCTTTTCACTTAATATTTAAATGTTTTTTTAATGAACATACCTATTAATCCAAAATCTTCCTCCTGAACAACACTAATTAAACAGACAATCATGGAAAGATGCTATAAAGGTGTCACATCATGCAGAAAGATAGAGAAGCCTGTGGGAAAGAGTGGATTAAAAAGAGATATGCAAAATTCAGAATTACTGTGGAAGAAGCTGATCATGTACAAATAATTGCATGGACTGCCATTCTGTATAAAGGGCTGCACAATAATAGCTGAAATGAAAACTGCAATTATTTATCACAGTTATTCTGTTGATTCAGAACAAAATAGTGTGTTTAATGCATTTTCAAATTTTAAATCACAATAAATAGACACAAAATAAAAAAATATTAATATGTCATCACTATATGCAACCATATATCGCTGTTGTCGGAAGAAAACCTCATATCTCCAAAATGGTAACTTTACAGGAGAAGGGAAAAACCTTCTTTACTTTCCATGTAAGTGAATGGAACCAAACTTTTTTCCAAGTCATTTTGAACCATTTCTTTTGGTCTGTTCATCAAGAAATTTATACACAAGTTAAAGGGGAACAGGCATTTTTACATTATGTAAAAAACTGAAAAATGCCAAAAATGGAGATACAAGGTTTTGTCCCGACAACAGCGATATATAGGAACTGTATGTGTATAGAAAGTTTTTTTTTTTCTTTTTTTTGCCAGAAATGTGAAAACTAATGTTAGCGAATAAGTTGATGCTACATTATGTAAGATTTGGGGATTTGGAGACCTCTCTGGTGGAAAAGTATAATTGCACGCACTGTACGGAACAACATTTTGTAGCATGGGTTGTGATTCAGCCCACTTTCCCAGGTAGATGAATCTGATGATTTAAAGAGAATTCAAAGAGAACTCAGTCCAAACCTGGTGAAGGAGGCACTTTCCAAAGATGTGAGTGAATTATCCACTACTGTCATCATATCGTCATCAGTGTAATGTTGATTTTGAGATTGAGGCCTAAACATCGAGCCGGACTTTCTTTCTGAGTCTGTATGTGTGACGTTAATATGTAAAGACGTACGAGGTGGTCTGAAAAACTCGACGCCTCTGACTTTCAAATGATTTGCTCAGGTTTTACAGGGCGACTCACAGCAGCGCACGCTCACCATATTTTAGCCTGTTTTTATTCCCCTCACTCAGGAATGATACTGCTTTCATTTCTATCTGGCATGTAAGTAACTTTACATAAAACCATGATCATTATTAACATGTGATTAGTTGTGCAGACCTGCAGCATAGAACTGAAAAATTAACGCAGTCACGATTTGAGTGTCACGAAGAGCATCAGCACCTAGATCTCTCACCCTCTCCCTCTTTTTCTCGCTTTCACTCTTTTCACCTTTCCTTTACACAAACACCTTTGGGGAGAATTTTAAATGAAATCTCCTTTATTTAAAGACTTTAATAAAAACAGTGAACAGAAGTCACACAGGTACAGCTGTTAGTGTTGCTGATGGGAATGATGAGAGAGAGAGAGAGAGATTTTAGTGAGAATCAGACTTACTCATATGACTGAAGATACTTTGCATAAAGTGGAGGAGAGAAAGTGAAAAGAGAGCAATTGATGTTGATAACACTTCACTTTTTGACCTCTACATAACCTCATCATGGCAACTAACGTAAACTCACATAAACATTTATACAGTATTAATCCAATAGGTGTCCTCCAATGTCATAAAGGCTGCTTTTGTCAATTTTGATATCAACACCTACATTATATGGCCAAAAGTATGTGGACACCTGACCATCACACCTATACGAGCTTGTTGGACATCCTATTCCAGAGCCATGAGCTGCTCCCCTTTGCATCTGTACCAGCCACCACACTTCTGAAGTCATTCCACAAGATTTTGGAGTGTGTCTGTGGGAATTTGTCAAAAGAGCATTTGTGAGGTCAAGCGCTGATGTTGGATGAGAGGGCCTTACTCACTTTCAAGTTTCCAGTTCATTCTGTTGGGTTGAGATCAGGGCTCTGTGCAGGCCACTGGAGTTCTTGGCTGAGCTGTTGCTGCTCATAGATGCTTCCGTTTCATGATAATAGCACTTACAGTTGTCTGGGGCAGATCTAGCAGGACAGAAATGTCACAAACTAACTTGTGGCTGAGGTGGCATCCTAAGACAGTGCCATGTTTAACGTCACTGAGCTCTTCAGTACGACCCATTCCACTGCCAATGTTTGTCTATGGAGATTTTATAATTGTTATAATTAGGAGGGGTGTTGACACACTTTTGGCCATATATTGTTGCTTAAATCTTATAAATAACAAAATGAAACTTACTTTACCTAAGGGTAAAGGAAATGCCCACTGTTGTTAAACAGTCTGACTTGGAGAGCTATGTCATATTATCAGCATTATGTGACTGTGACATACATTAAACTACAAAGTTCATCATTTCACCCTTAGAAAGTCTCATGATGCAACCTAATGTTTAAGTGATAGCATAGCAAGAGCAGGCAAGGAAAGCAGAAGAGCGTTTTTAGCTAGACTCACAGTTAGCCATGTTTTTCTTTTGAACTTCTTGGATTGAAGGAGCAGATTTTGTCCATTATTTTGCCTTGCTATTATGAGTGGCTGTCACAACTGATGAGGAACAACGGCTAGCTGCGTAGCAACTACCCATACCATAAACAACGTTTACTAAACGTCTGGATGTATGTAAATTTATCATTTTTTATTGGCTGCTCTCAGCATGGTGATGGGGCCGCACAGCTGGTTATTGAAAGCGCATTGAACATGCGCAGTGTTTTTTAACTGCTTACTTGGTTAGATGGACGCTGACGGGCCCCACACTCACCAAATAAATAATAGGTAGAAATAGGTAGCATACTGGCATTTACACAACAGATACAGGAAAATATTTGGAATGTATTGGACAGCCCTACCATTGTCATATGTAATAAACACGCAACAATGTTAGTTATGAAGAAAAAAATATATGTATTAGTTGTTATACTGAATTACTGATCCTGTCGTGCACTGCTCCACAGACCAGGCCCCACCGGCCCCTAATGTAGAGTCGCCACTGCCTGACACAAATGTTAGCTCAACTTGACGAATGCATCCTTTATGACATATGATGCTTATTTGAATAAGTGTTTATAAATGTTTATTTATACACTGATTATGATGATTATCCTCAGGTTTTGTACAGTAGTATATCATTAAAACTAATAACCGTCCCAGCCCCGTCAGCGGTCTGAACTCCATCCTGACTCTCTTACATAAAACACTTCAGTAAATGGAGCGATCCCTCTTTACCAAACAAACACACTGCGTTATATAACTGCAGTTCACTGCTTTACACTGTTCTGTGTGTGCAGGAATCTAAGTGGCTTGGAACTAAGCTTGTGGGGGTGGCAGAGAGGAGAGAGAGAGAGAGAGAGAGAGAGAGAGAGAGAGAGAGATGCAGACTATGTGTTTATCAGAGATGTGTGAAATGTAACTCCTCTAATCTCTCTTTTCTGCTGTCACACCAAAAACACTCCATACTCAATATGTTCAGCTGCTCATGATGAAAAATCAAATATGTAGTCAATCGAAACATTTAATCATAATTTAACTGACCCTGTCCATCTGCTTAGCAGTCTTAAATGAATGTAGTGCGTCATTAACATTGTCATTAACTGACTGTACGAGAACTGACTGTTCACTTACCATGTAAGATACTAGACCTTGACAAGCACATTTACAAGATAATCAGTGCTCTTCAGTTTATATCAACAGTTTTCTCTTTCAGTTTACTTGCTTTTGGTAGTTATTGAGCTGTGTAATACACTATATAGACAAAAGTGTTGGGACACACCTCCTAATTATTGAGATCAGGTGTTTCAGCCACACCCATTGCTTACAGGTG